TTGGACATGAATTGTGGTCAACTTATGTGCAAGTCTAGCGTCTTAAACCCATGCCAATTACTAGACTCTCTTGACACTGTTTAAGGGTCCAGAACATAGGGAAAATATGACATGCTTCAACTGTGGCTTTTGGTCCTACATAGAAACAAGATGACATGTGGAATACATCAACTTTGAGAAGGGTAATGAAGGTGATTATAAGCAGGGGGAATGTAACTCATAATTGAGTACTATTCATTCCAATACTGCCAATGGAGTATGATACTAATGCTATTCTCACAGAAAATATTAAATAGTTCAGGTAATATAAATATTAACTACCATATTCAATAGTTCCATACCATATTTAAAAATTCTAAAACAACTGGGACCAGCAGTTAGTGTAATGGCTATGTCGCTGGACTCACATGTAGTTGACCACGGTTCGAGTCCCAGAGCCTGTGGCTTAAAACTCACACCAGCGCATGTGCATGTGTGCCCAAGATCCCTACAGCAACCCACTTCTTTTTCTAAGTAGATTTTCCTAGGTAATGCTATAGATATTTTATATACATATATATGTACACACACACACACACATATATATATATATATATATATACACACACACACATACATATTATAATTTACCTACATATAAATTTTTAAAATGTGTCAAAAAAGTGAATGTGTGCACTTTTTATTCACATCTTTTTAAAAAGTTGTTGTCTTCTCTACGCAGTAATGATCATCATTTAAAATCACCTCTGTTTAGGTGACAGCATCATCATCCAGCTAAATAAAATCTTGTCTCACTCACATGGCCCTCCAAACCTCTCTTCATTGTTTGGACAAAATTTGCTTTAGTAGAGAGAAAAACACATTTTAAGCTTTTCTAGAGCCCTGCAAACCTTATTAACACCAGCTCCGTGAACTAGAGCAGCTAGAGCAGGAGAATCTCTAAATAGCTGTCTAGGCCTAAACCTGTATGCCTTGTGGCTTGGCTAAAGAGGTTTTTTTTAAAATTAATTAATTAATTTTACTTTAATTCACTATATATCATTACAACATACAAAATAAATTTTCCATCCAGAATACACTGTATATTGACTCAATCAAGCACATCAACATATGTGTTATTAACAAATAATTTTCCATCTCTTATGTCCTGTATATTTTGTCTTTTTTTTTTTTTTTGCCATCCTTGATTCCCTATCCCTCACCCTCAGCTGTGTCCCACCCTTCTCCCACATTGTCTGTGGCATCCATGGTTGCTTTCTATGCCTTTCCCCCCTCATTTAATTGATTTGCTAATGAACTTGGTCTAAATATTTCCAATAGCAAGCACAGCTGATATATACACATGAATGAGCCCAAGTCTGACTTTAAGCATAAACCTCAGTGAGTAGAATGAACATACTATAAAGTAGTACCTAGCTGGGGCTATATAGCTTACTGCAGTCATCAAATACACATTTTTTTTTTAATTTTGATAAGAACAGTTTTAGTGTTGTTTTTTCTCCTGAAACTTCTTTTTTAAATTAATTTACATTCATTCCCTGAGCATCATCACAACATACTAAATGTGGTTTCTCATCGAGAATAGAATAAACTGCATAGTGGCTTAATCATGCATGTTATCATCAATAATATTCCATTTCTACTTTCATATATATGCATATATATGCATGTGTGTGTGTGCGTGTGTGAGTGTATGTATATATATATGTGTGTGTATATATATATATATGTTTTTTACCCCATGTCTGACCCTCTGCCCTTTCCCACTCTCTTATTACACTATCTCTGCTGTCTACAGTTGTCTTCAATTCCTTTTCCCCCAACATTTTGTTGATCACACAATATCATAAGTAATCTAACTACTTTCAATAGCAAGTTCAGCTGGTAATTTCAAGAAAAGCAGTTTTGGACTGGTAAGAATATTTCCTTGAAACTTAAAGCCTAGAAACAGGTTAATATTCTGTTCAAATAGTAGGTACATGAACCTATTGACAACTCAAGACAGGACAAAAATTCTTAAAACTGGACAACAAAGCTTAGAAGAAAAGCAGCAATATTTTATCAAGCCACAGAATGCTGTTTCATCAGTTCAGTTTCATATACTAAATCTTTCTTCTGTTGTGGTTCGATCTTCCAGATTAAATTCTGGGATATATTATTCAACTTTGTCCCTACAATTAAGTTGCCCATTTTCTTAGTTTTTGAACTCTTATTTCTGTATGTCTGCATTTAATTTTACTGACATAGCACTCCCTTAAGAACTTCTTGGAAATCTGGTCTGGTGCTGGTAAATTCTTTCAGGTTTTGTTTATCTGAGAATGTTTGTGTCTTTTCTTCCCAAATGAACGATAATCTTGCTGAGTACAGTATTCTCGGTTGAAAGTGCTTTTTCCCTTAACACTTTGAATATATTTCCCCATTCTTTCCTCACTCACATTGTTTCTGATGAGAGGTCTGCTGTTAGTCTGATGGGATACCCTTTGTAGGTAATTTGCCATTTTTCTCTTGCCAATCTTAGTATCTTGTCTTTGTGGTTTTGGTCAATCTGGCTATAATGTGTCTCGGAGAAGATCTTCTTGGGTTGGTTCTATTTGAGGTCCTCTGTATTTCTTGGGACTGAATCTTTGAGTGCCTCTCTAGGTTTGGAAAATTTTCTTGCAGGATTTCATGGGATAGATTATCAATGCTCTTATGAGTCTCTTCACCTTCTGGGATGGCTTGACTGAAGAGTTTAACCTGAATCGCATAACTTGACTGTATATCCTAATGCTGTCTCCTCTATTTAGGTACCACTGGAAGAACTACCAATATGTATTGGCCTTTCTCTTTGCCATTGAGGAGATCAATAAGAGCCCCCATTTGCTACTGAACCTTTCTCTGGGTTATGATCTCTACAATGCATTTACCAGTGACAAAAGGACTTTACAAAATGTTCTGATTTTGCTCACTGGAGGGAATCAGCCCCTGCCAAACTACAATTGCCAGACACAGAAACAACCTGTCGCTATCATTGCAGGAAACATGCCAACATTTTCAGCTGAAGTTGGAACCCTTTTGGAACTCTACAAAAGCCCACAGGTAAGGGGGTTTTGGGTTGGGGAATGACAGTTGGATAACTTCTAAAGCAATTTTCTCACATCTGAGCAAAGAAAATGTGGAAGTTGTGTTTATATATCCCTTGTGATCCTTGAAACCTCTCTTGGTTGTTTGGGCACAATTTGTGGAAACACAAAAAAAGCACAGGTAATTTCCTGAGTTATGAGATTAACAGTAAAAAGATGATAGAGAATGAGAAAGATCAGTGGTGGGCCAGTTGGTGATATGATGGTTAATGTGGCTGACTGCATGGTTCAAATCTTGATCCTGGTGGCTTAAAGAACACACTGGGCATTTGTGTTTGCAGGTACAAAATCTCAATAATGGAATATTTAGGAGAAGATATATTGGCATAAACATCCTCTAGGAGGGGTTATATCTCACTTTCTTCTGTTTCTCTGTGGCGAGCACACACGATTTAATTTGCCCTCTAACAAATTAAAAATAACAAGAGAAGTGGCATCTAAGTTTTACCCAAAGTCCTGTTCATATCCATTACATTCAACCTCCACTGATGGGAACATTGATGGTCAATTTAAAGATGTCTCCTGAAAAGTATGAACTGAGTAGAGATTTACCTTATCTTAGGACAGGAAAATATCAGGGGAAATTTATAGGACAACTTGATACAAAGATATAAAAATTCGCATTCATTATAACATTGAACAAAGAAAGGACATTCCAGCATCAAAGATCCTCTAACTTGGCTATGGCTCAGTTACAGCAGCTGAGGTTTACCAGCTCCTTCTGCCCTTCCTCACATCCATGCAGGTGAATTTCTTGAAAGCACTTCCAGTTACTTTCTACATAACATCTCTCCATCTCAGAGATTTTTTCCAGGGAAACTGTCTAACAAAAGTTTAGGGAAACATTACTGGCAAACATAGCATGAGCTCAGGAGAATCACGCTCTTGAAAAATTATATAAAACTATCAGAGTGGCTAAGTTGTTTTGTTTTAAGATAATATAGGTTATAATGTAGTGATAAAACACAGTATCAAGAAATCAATACAATATTTTTATTAGAGTTGACATTGTTATCTTTGGGTGTTATGAAAGGAAGCCTCTGATCCACATGTCACATGAGCTCAGAATGGCAGAATCACCAACATATTGTTGCACCATTTTTTATAAATTATACATCCCTCAGTTCCCACTGTAGACAACAAAACAAGTCTTGAACTTTATACTTTTTCTCTCATCCTTTGGTCTGGAAGTGATAACTATTATTTGAACTAGTCACATGTCCTTTATTGAAATAAATCTTTAATAAAGGTCTTCTACTGCTCTAAATAACAGAATAGGGTCATTTCTACAGCATGCATTCTCTTCTCAATATTTCAATCTTTTTAAAATTTTTAATTTTTTAATATTACATTTAATCACATATATCTCAATATTCCATTCCACGGTTTTGACAGGTAGAGAATTATCTCCTCCTTGTTTAAGTGGAACAATCCAAAATTCTACTAAGATCAGAATCAGATTATGTCTTTCTTATTCAGGTCACATATGGTCCTTATGACCCCATCCTAAGTGATAAAAACCAATTTCCATCAGTTTATCAGATGGCCACCAAGGACAGCTCTCTGACTCATGGAATCATCTGCTTGTTGCTGCATTTTGGCTGGACGTGGGTGGCACTCTATGTATCTGATGATATGCAAGGGGAGCAGTTCCTTCAGGATGTAAAGGAAAAGATGATAGAAAAGGATATCTGTGTGGCCTTTACCGAAAAACTCCCGGCCACAAAAGGTGTCTTTTTATCACATGACTATAGTCTTGTGAAGAGCATCAGAGTTTCATCAGCAAATGTGTATATAATATATGGTGATGTAGGGAGTGTCTGGAACCTGGGAATGGAAAAAGAATTCTACTTAATTTTCGGAAAGGTATGGATCATGAGAAATCTCCACTCCTCAGAGTGGGAAGATATTTTGACTTATATAGTGCACATGCCATATTTTTTCCATGGGAGTCTCTTATTTTCAAACCAGGAAAGACAAATTTCTGGCTTTAAACAATTTCTGGAGACAGTGAACCCTTCCCAATACCCAGATGATTTTTACTTCAGTAAACTCTGGCTTCACTTTTTTGCATGCTCACTTGCTGGATCACTATGTGGCAAACTTGGAGACTGCCCTCCAAATTCTTCCCTAAAGTTTCTACCATCTGAATTGGGCATGATGAGGATATCTGACACCAGCTATTTTATCTATCATGTTGTGCATGTGGTGGCCCATGTTCTTTCTAAGATGCTTTTGCATAAAATAGAAATGGTATCTCCAGGAGAAGCAGACCAGCCAATTCTTCCCTGGCAGGTAAACACCCTTCACAAGCACATACTCTCATCAGAGACAGTGTGAGGGAAATTTAGACATGACCCTCCTAGAGGCTAATGGCCACACCACAATCCCTTCCACTCCATTCTCCTCCTGAGATTTTGAGCAAACATGCACAAATGACTACTGGCATAATTTTCAAGTTTCCAGGTCTGGGACTCACATAGTGGTTAGTCACATGGCACCACCTGCTGACTCCTGGAGCTTTATTTTTTATTTTTTTTCAGCTTTTGCCATAGGGTGTTAGCACTCACCAGAGAAAGAAAAAATGTGATAAGTCACTTCCTAGGGGGAATGGCTGTGCTGCGGTCCCATCTCCTCCATACTCTTCTTGGGATTTTGAGCATGCACACACATGTGCCCAGCATGATTTTCAAGCCACTGGGTCCAGAACTTGAATCACAGTAGGTTATGTGGCTACCTTAATCACCGTATCACCTACTGAGGTATTTATTTATTTTATTTCTACAGAGAATTTTACTATTGAGTATGTGCCCTCACCAGTGAGAGAGAGAATGATGTGGAAAGACAGAAAGTGAGAATCATCTTCTAGAGTGAATAGCCACACCAGAATCCCTTCTTTTCTATTCTCCTCTTGGCATCTTCAGCATGTACACACATGTGCTTTTCATGAGGTTTAAGGAGCTGTGTCCAGGACTCAAATTGTGGTGGATTATGTGGAAGTCCAGCAATGTAACCATTTCACCATCTGCTGGTCCCTGGTGAGATATTTAAAAAAAAAAAAAAACACCATCTGGGGACTAGAGGGTGTCATAATGGTTATGTCGCTGTACTTCCACATAGTTGACTGTGAAGGGATTGTGTGGCTATCCCCTCTGGAGTGGTTAGTTCTTGCTTTCTGTCTCTGTTTTATCTGGTGAACACACATACCCTATAGCAAAGACCTCTCAAAATAATGTTTTCTTCTCAAAATAACAAGATTAAGCAAAATTTTTTAAAGTTGTTAATTTATGTTATATTTACCCAAGGTGTCTGGGTAATTATCATTTCTACTTAGAGAGTTCTGCCACTAGAGACTTAGATTTTAAAATATTTGGCCTGGCTTCATGGACTGGTGGTTGATATAGTCAGATCCCACATGGAGAACCTTGTAGCTTAAATCCTGGACCCAGAGATTGAGAAAGCACCAGAAATATGTATGTCCCTGAATGCATATTTTTCAATGAAGGAGAAGGAGAAGGAATTGCAGCATGAACATTCTCCATGAAATTTGCTTTCTTTCTCTGTCATTCTGACATGTACCCTCTAGCATATTTTATAAACTTAATTACATTATTAAAAATAATGTACAGTGAAATACTAAAAAAAGTCCTAGAGAAGATACTTGAAAGAACATAAGTCAAAATTGGTCAAATCTATGTGTGTTTTTTAGGTATACATCTAACATCAGAGAATATTAACATAATAACCATATACATTTTATCTCTAGAGATATAGATGCTGTGGCCTAATCCCTTCATGCAATACTCATGGTGAGGGCAAAAATTAATTCTGCATACTATCCTAACATGACTCATGGAAAGAACTTTCTTTTAGAATTAACTGTACTTATACTGTCTGCAAAAATTCTAGAGGAAAGAAAGAAAAGGTGATCCAATTTTAAAACATAAAACTACTTTTGAAACTTATAGTCTCAGGGTTTCCTAGTTCATTTATAAATAAGCTTATATTTTTTAATTTTTATTTTATTCCTTTTTAATCTTTTTATTTTGGAGAGGTTTTTGCTATAAGGCACGTGTGCTCACAAGAAAGACAGAGAGGCACAGAGAGACAGAAATTAAAAAAATCGCTCTCAAGGGGAAATGGCCATGCCACAATCCCTTCTCCTTCATTCTCCTCTTGCGATCTTGTGCACACACACACACACACACACACCCAGTGTGAGTTTAAGTCAGCAGGTCCAAGACTCGAACAGCAGTGGACTACATGGGAATTCAGTGACATAGCCATTATGACAACTGCAAGTCCAAATAAGTTCATATTTTAAATAAACACTAAATCTTGGAGCCAGCAGATGGTATGGTTAAGGTCCAGGAATCCCACATGTCAACTGTGGTTCAAGTCCAGAACTGGTATTTTGCTTTCTCATATTCCCTTTTTTTTGCTCTCTGTCTCTTTGGTGAGTGCATATGCCTTATAGCAAACTTAATAATTTTTAATAAAGTAAAATTGAAAAATTTTAAATAATCATTAATAATTAAAGTTTATATAAAACATCTTTGTCAAAAAGGGACAAATACATTAGACAAATTTGTTGAGAAAAACAAGTAAATACAATATACATAGATAAAAATAAACATCAGAAAGTTTAGTTTCTATCTGATTTCCACTTGTTATAACAATAACAAGATTTGATTTGCACTTTGAATAAGTTTGACATTGACTCTTGGAAAAGCAAGTTATTTTGTCAAAATGGTTATGTAGATGTGGAAAATATTGTAGTGTTTATATTCTAATAATTAAAAGACTGAAAGAGCAATTGCACAAAAAGTTAATTATTTTCTTCAAAAGGACATAATCAATTCAAAAGTTAAGAGGGTAACATGGTTTATTCAAAATCTCTTTAATGAGGCCTGCAAATGGCTAGTGGTTAAGTCACTGGACTCTGGTTGATCATGGTTCCAGTTCCAGAATTGGCAGTTTGCGTTCTTACTCTCTCTCTCTCTGTGTCTTCCTTTCATGAGCACACATGCCCTTTATTAAATTTAAAATAATGATAATTCATGAAATTCAATATATAATTCTTTTTTTTTTTTAGACTTTTTTTTTTTTTGGAGAGATTTTCACTGTAGGGCGCGTGCGCTCACCAGACAGACAGAGAGAGACATAGAGACAGAAAGCGAGAAATCACCCTCCAGGGGGGATGGTCACGCCGCAATCCCTTCTCCTCCATTCTCCTCTCGGGATCTTGGGCACGCACGCACACGCGCCCGGCGTGAGTTTTAAGCCACCGGGCCCGGGACACGAACTGCGGTCGACTACGTGGGAGTCCAGCAACATAGCCATTACACTAACTGCTGGTTCCCAATAAATAATTCTTTTTTAAAAATTGATTTTGTGAATTGAATCCATGATCTGGTGATTAAGGCAGCTAGATTTCACCTGACTTGAATCCCAGATCTGCAGGCCTAAGAAACATTCTAGGCATGTGTGTAGGCACACAGGCCCAAAAAACTAATAAAGAAGAAGAAATGGAGAAGGGATTGTGGCCTGACCATTCCCCATGGGAGGTACTTTTTCCTCTTCTTTTCTCACTATTTCTCTGTCTCTCTCTGGAAGGACACATTACCACTAGAAAAAAACAAAAAGTAAAAACACCTGTTAGAATTTAGAAGTTTGGATTTTATTTTTGTCACAAATTGCTTATTGTATTGTCACATGCCAATCACATTCTTACCAAAAGATTTCCAAAATAAAACAAAACACATTTTTTCCCTTTCAAAAGCATTATTAGATCTAAGTAGTATTCAAAAATTGCACATATTTAATATACATATTTGTATAAACTTGGAGAAATGCATACCTTTATAATACCACTACTATCAAGAATCAAAACCCATTCATCTATATAGAGTCTTTTAAAATTTTTCCTACAAAGGGCAGGGAGGTGGTGTGGTAGTAAGGGCACTGGATTCTCACATGACTAAACCTTAGACTTTTCAGCTTGCTTTCTCCCTTTCTCTCTGTCTTTCCAGTCACTATAAGATATTAATGATAATAAATTAAATTAAATTAATATTTCTTTAAAAAATTATTTAGTATGCAAGGCATATGCATTTGCCAGGCAAAGATAGAGAGGAGAAGTGAGAAATTACCCCCTCAATGAAAAATAGTCATGATTACATTGGAATTTATAACCAATGGAATTCCCTCCATTTGGAATTTTGAACATGCACACATATGTGCTGTTTATTTTTAATAATAATTTTATTTTATTTGTTATTTTAAAATTTGACCAGAGAGAGACAGAGAGAAAGAGAAAAGAAAAGTCAGAAAGGAAGCCCTTAGGTGTTGGATTTGAACCATGATCAGCCATGTGGAAGTCCATTGTCTTATCACCATTGCCACCTTTGGCCCCATCCATTGTGTTTTGTTGTTATGAGTACAGGACTCAAGTTGCTGGGTTGGCCATATGTGATTCAGACACCTTAACTACTTTACTGTCTCACCCCTTGTTGTGCCCTTTATGAATGACCAAGATTAGCCTCCAGTTAGTCCAAACCAGATTTTATTAGTCTGGGTTTTATGAGAGTCTGTGTACAAATTACACTTTGGGAAACATACTCAGTTTTTTTCTGATGAGGTACAGCTACTGCTCCATTTTTTAAAAAATGTTCATCTCACATGAGGCCTGAACTACTGACCACTGAAACCAAACTGAGCCCCTACCAAAAAGTAAACATGTGAATAGACATGTTAAAATAGAATTATTATTTTATAGATATGTACTATCCACCTCTACATTAAATACAGTCCTAATTTGTAAATCTTGCCTTTAATCCAGCTTCATCCATTTCTGAAGAACAGCCAATTGACAAATAGCATTGGGTACAACATGACCCTGGATGAAGAAATATATACAATACAGTATGATATGCACAACCTTGTGAGATTTCCTGATCACAGTTGGCTGTTTGTTAAAGTAGGAGACTTTATCTACAGGAATTCCCAGGATCAAGGTTTGGTCATCAGAGAAGAGATGATAAACTGGTCTATTAGTTTCAAAGAGGTATAATGTCATTTCAATATGAAATACATACAGAGGTGGGGTCAGCAGATTGCATAGTAGTTAAATCACTGGAATCCCACATAATTGATCATGGTTCAAGTCCTGGATATGGTGACTTGAAACTCACATTGGATGTGTGTGCCATTCTCTTGGGGGAGTGATTTCTCATTTTGCTTCTCATCATCTCTCTGTCTTTCTCTGGTGAGTGCATAAAAAAATACAAAATAATCAAAATATGTACAAAGTTAGCTGAACAGAGTCTTTAAATAAAATTGTGTGACTACTTTAACTCAGCAATAAATTTTATTTTTATGGGGCTAGCATATGACATCATTGTGAAGGTGTTGTACTTTGACATGGCTGACTATCATTTTAGTGTTCAATCCAGTGGCTTGAAAATCACGCATGGTGTGTGTGTGTGTGTGTGTGTGTGTGTGTGAATGCCCAAATCCATAGAGTACAATGAAGAAGGGATTGTGATATGGCTCTTTACCTGAGTATTAATTTCCCACTTTTCTCTCTTTCTCTCTGTCTCTCTCCTATGAACGTACATGACCTACTCAAACTCTAAAGAAAGGAAATTGTGACCCCACTCTCATCTTTTGACCCCTGGGCCAGGAATTTTGAGGGAGGACTGCCCCCCCCCATAGTTTCAGTCCCGGGATCCCCAAGCCAGACACCCCTATTTCAGCCAGGTACACTTTTTTTTCCTTTCTTTTTCTCTCCCCTTCCCCTCTTCTTTAATTTGTAAATTTCTCTCTTGTGATTACCACATAGGAACGCCCTCCATCCTACTACAACCCACTCCTATCTTTCAACCCCTGGCGAAATCGCGGGCGGTGTGCCAATGCAGCACGCGACTATTTCTTTATTCTACCTATTATTTTCTTCCCATTTATTCAGTCCGCACTTCCTTTATCTACACCATCCCTGGCTCTTTATATAGGTTTAGAATTACAGTTCTGAAATATTCTAGTATTTTAAGACTCTCTGGAATCCTCCCTTTCACTGAACCACCTGCGAAGAAGAAGATACATTTCTTTGTACACCTGAAGAGAATACTTTTTCTTGGATTACATTACTAAACACAATTGAAGAGAGACTTTGGCTGTCTCCATTCCACATCAAAAAGGAAACACACTTGCTCCTATTTGAAGAATCGTTCTCCTAAAAGGTTTTTCAAAGGGAACACATCTCCCAATGGTTAGAAGTAGAAGAAGAACCTCCAGTCTGAATAAAGCAGGAAATATGTCTCCATCAAAAGAACACAGTAATTCCCTTCCTTTTCTTGAAAAAATAGAGAACGTTACCAAAATGTCCGAGATAGAGTTTAGAACATTCATGTTGAACAAATACTATGAGCTGAAGCAGAAAAGGGACAATGAACTACAGGAGATGAGAAAGTCTTTCAATGATATAAAGGAAGAAATGGACATGCTAAGGAAGAATAAGACGGAACTATTAGAGGTGAAGTCTGTAATACAGGAAATCAAAAACTCTCTCGAAAGTATTAAAAGTCTATTAGACCGTGCTGAAGGTGCTGTAGAACATAAAACTTCTGACCTAGAGAAAACCACCAAAAAGATAGAGAAAATAACAACAACAACAACAAAAAACACATGAAGATAACGTACGAGAAATACTAGATTCCATTAGATGTCCTAACATCTGAATAATTGGTATCCCAGAAGATGAACAAACTAATAAGAGCATGGAAAACCTATTCCATGAAATCTTGGAAGAAAATTTCCCAAGCACAGAGAGGCACTCAAACATCCAGACCCAAGAAATACAAAGGACACCAAATAGAATCAACCCAAGAAGATCTTCTCCAAGGCATATCATAGCCAGACTGGCTAAGACCACAGATAAAGATAAGATACTAAAACTAGCAAGAGAGAAACGACAAGTGACTTACAAAGGTCACCCCATCAGGCTAACACTGGACTTCTCAATGGAAACAATGCAAGCAAGGAAAGAATGGGAAGATGTATTGAAAGTGTTAAGACAGAAACAATTTCAACCAAGATCATTGTATCCTGCAAGATTATCCTTCATATGGGAAAAAAAAGACGAAAATCTCCTCAGACAAACAAAACCTGAAAGAATTTGCCAGCACCAGGCCAGCTCTCCATGAAACCCTGAAGAAAGTACTGTTCCAGGAAAACTAAAGAAGTAACAACCAGAAACAAAGGAGTAAAAGGCAACTAAGACAACGGCCAACTTAAACATTGGGATAGATTCATTAACATCGATAATAACATTGAATGTTAATGGATTAAATTCTCCAATCAAGAGACACAGACTGGCTGAATGGATTAAAAAACAAAAACCCTCTTTCTGTTGCCTACGGGAAACCCACTTCATGGATAAAGATATATAGACTGAAGGTGAAGGGTTGGAAAAAGATTTTCCATGCAAATGGGAACCAAAAAAGAGCTGGAGTCGCAATACTAATCTCTGACAAAATAGGCTTTAAAACAAAAACTGTTCGAAGAGACAAAGAAGGGCACTATATTGTAGTAAAAGGATCAATTGATCAAGAATATATAACGCTTATTAATATCTATGCACCTAACACAGGAGCACCCAAATATGTGAAGACTACTAGATCTAAAAAGAAAGATAGACTGCAACACACCAACTGTTGGAGACCGGAACACTGCACTATCCCCCCTGGATAGATCATCTAGACAAAAAGTAGGTAAAGAGATAAAAGATCTAAACAATATCATAAATGAAATGGATTTAACAGACATTTATAGAACATTCCATCCCAAAACCTCAAGATACACTTTTTTCTCTACACCACATGGAACATTCTCGAAGATGGACCACATCATTGGGCACAAAGCAAGCCTCTACAGATTCAAAAGCATAGAAACTATACCCAGCATCTTCACCGACCATGATGGAATTAAA